AGCTGCTTCTGGAACTGCTATTATAAGAGGTGAATGTCAAGTAGACAAATTCCTATCAAGGATATAGTTCAGTGGATAACTTCCAGGATATGTCCTAGGCGGGGCCGTGTAGTCTCTGCTCCCCCATATTCTATAGTTGGAGTAAAAATTATTTTCACTTCAAACACCTAGAGACACTGATAGCTTGAGGTGCTTTTCTTAGTCAACTGAAATTTTAGCAAACCTAATATATTTATTTTGTTCTCTAGTTCTTTAGAAATGGGTGAACATGTGTGGCATATATCAGAACTCGTCCCCCAAATAGTCAGATGATTTTAACAAATTATGTTGAACAAGAAACTTAGTATTTTGGTAGGAAACTTTTTCCGATATAAAGGGAAAAGGCTAGTCTATATAACCTTTTGGGAAAGGAGATTGAATCCCATTACAGTCACTTCCAAAAGATCACTGCACTACCCAGAGTCCAATAAAAAGCATAGGACGTAAAGAGAAAAAAAGCGTGATTGGACATAACATGCAAAAACTGCATCAGTGACACGTTAAGGAAGATAGAACAGTAATGGCTTTACATATGTTAAATGTTTAACAAATAGATTAACAGTACAAATAAATGTGGCACTGTACCTCTTAGAAGAAAGAACGTAAGTTTGCGTTGGAAGTGGGCATCAGAAGGGTCGCCACTTGTGCCTGAGGGATTGTGAAGTGGTGGAGGAGGGTTATCTGAAATTGGAGGGAAAGGTGGAACACCAGATGTGGGTGGGTGTGGCTCAAACAGCACTGTGAAGGTTCAGGTGGTGCAGTTTTGTGCATTCATTTAGGTTTTTCTTGCAGACGAAATTGCCCTTTAAGCAAACACAAAATTCACCTTACGCTCAAATTGTTCCCTATATGTTAATCATGTTGGGACAAACCTGCATTTCAAAACACCTGTTACAGCTGAAGTGACTACAACAAACGATTCTTCGAATCAAAAGTTTCTAAAGCCAGTGAAGACATAGGATTTCAGAAACAAATTCTAGGACATTACACATTTGGCACATCTGTTGAATTGGTTATTGTGACCTGATCCATCTCACATTCCCTCCCAGAGGAGAAATGAAAGTAGCAATTAAGCCGGTTTAGATTGAGTCCAGTGACAAGTGATTAATGTGCTCTAAAAGAGATGTGCAAGCTCTGGAGATTGTATAGTCATGGGAAACTGCTGTTTATCCCTGAGGAGTGGGATTTTTTAGGAGCACGTAGGACATACTGGTCCGCCATAGTCTGCGTTCACGCATGCTGCCTGAGTTAGGAGTCCACATTTTGTTCTAAGTATTCCATTCACATGTTTCCATCTATTAGCAGTTTGTTAAATTTTTCAGGTCAGATGTTTACTCCTCATAGGGTCATCTAGTGTTATTCCCGGTGTTTAACACGTTGTTTGAGGTGCTCAGTGAGCTAGGAGCCACGATTGTCAACTGAACTTTGAGAACTGTTTATTTAAAAGGTAGACAGAGATGACCACTACTTGAGTCAAACAAACTGTTTCTGATTCTTAAAAACCTCAGTTTAAAAAATTTATTTTTTCCTGATTTATCAAGATACGTGAGTACCAACAAGTATAAAAAATTGGGTGTAAAAGGAGGTGCCTGTAGTTTCTCCACCCAGAAGTGACCACTGTTACTGGTTTACTTCCCACAAATCTTTTCTATGTATTTTTTCCACTTTACAGAGCAGAGATCATGTATTATACAAGTACTGTTGTGCTCTTTTGGGGGCTTTTCTAACTAACTAATGACTAACATTGTCATCCTAACAAACATTTAAACTAAATGTTTCTAAGAGCTTTATAATCCCACAAATAGATTTACCACCGCATAACCGTGCAAAGGTAATGCCGCTTTTCAACTGAGCTGAAAAATTGAGCCAAAGTCCAAATCCCTCCGTCTTGAACTGTGAGCCTATTCATTCTGTTGCCAGTCTTCAGTAAATGAACTCACATTTCAAAAATTCAACACCTCAAGGACTATATTCAAAGAACTTTAAAGACAAAAAAAAAGGTTCTGGAATTCACCACAATTCCCAAAATTTGGGGTATGTAAAGAAATGAAAACTACCTAGGGATGAAAACTAGTCTATGACTAAGTTGCCCCACTTAACTCTTTGCTGCTTCCATAGAACTTTATTTAGTTTTAACCCTGAAACTGAAGGATTTTTGTGGCAGTGGTTAACATCTCTTTCAAATAGCCGGGCCCCTCCCTGAACAGCCGGTTCCTCATAAGAACAGGGAAACAGCTGATCTAAAGCCAAGAAAAGATCTACTGGTGCCAACAGAGTCTCAGTAGCAGGCCTTTTCTTTGGGGATTGACTTCAAGGGAGCATAAGCCTAAAGGTTCAAGAACTCCTTTCTCAGACCACAACCTCCCTTTCCTACCTTTCTAGAAACTAGCCTTGACCTTTGGGAATCCTTTAGGAAGCTTTAGTCCCTCAAGCCTACCCTGCTGCCTAACTAACCTGACTTGTATCCTCCTTTGTCTTCCTGTACCTCCTGGACTGTTTGGTAACCTTTAAGATAGATAGTCTCATTTGTATCCTTGATTCCTTCACTTTTTATTTTTCTGTCATACTGAGTGCCCTACCCTCTTTTTTCAGTGTAACGTCTACAATAGAGAAGCACAGCACCCCAGAAACTGTCCCCAGCTTCACCAGGACCCTTTTGGGTACTGAGCAGTCCTAACCTTGAGAGCATATTCCAAATTTTTCCATTCCTCACGACCAGGACCTGACCCTGGTCCCTTCACTTGTAGGAACTGGAAAGACAATCCACACGAGCCTCCCCCAAATTCCCTCGTGTCTTGCCATGATCTGATCCTCCTCCCCGTTTCTGACTCCATGCCTTTGTTCATGCTGTTCTCTAGCTAGAAAGCCATCTCCCCATCCTCTGATCCCTGTTACTTCTCCCAGGAAAGCTACACTAGCTACTTTATAGTCTTGTAGCAGAAGGAAAGATGGTATTCATTAAACATCTGATGCCTGTATTCAGATTACACTGATTTAAATAGCTTTTTTGGTTTTGCCTAATACACGTCTATAAATAACTCTTGAATATGAGAATATTTACTAGAGTAAATACTAGAAAGTATTTAAATATGAGGTACTTACTAGTGACCAGCTAAGGACTTTTTGTTAACTCTGTGGCCCACCACACCCACTTCGTCCCAAGAAGAACCGAAAAACGTTCTCACTGCCCACTAGATGGCACTGTTGGTCAGCAGTGACTCTTTTTAAAAGGACCCATTCTAACTGGGACAACAGACAAATCTGAAGGCACTCCTTTTTTCAACAGCCAGGCCACTTGCTCCCACAGAGTCTCCAATTAGGGTACACTGGGATTATGACAAAATATGATAGAGATCACTTTTGATCTTCACATATATAGCCTACTAGTCCAGAGTGACTGGATAAACAGCAGCCATTCTTACAGTTCGTCTTGACTTTTCAAATAGGTTATAAACACCCTCTGGTACATTGCCTCACACTAGTATTCACCTCTATCTTTTAAAACAACGAAACTAATCACAACTCCCCATAAATGAAAAGGGATACCATAGAAAATGGACATTGTTTTTTACAATTGACTGTAAAGATGAACTTTCACCAGGTGGTCTCCAACTTCTCCTTGAGAAGCACAGGAGCTAAGGGAACAGCGGTAGAACATGCACCTGAAGAGAAATTTGAATGACCAGGTCCCTTGGCCACAGTAGGAAAAGTAGACCACTCAGCCCCAGTGCGACCAGGAAAAACAGCCCAGGAGTGCTAGCTACGCAGACCTCTCTACACTTGACTCTGCTCCCAATCTGGTTTAAAACTTCATGTAACCCTTAACTTTCTGGGCCTCAATTTGTTTCTCTATAAAATAACAGGTCTCAAAGGTCCTAAAAATTATGACATCCAAAATATATTAAAACAAAAAAATACCTAGAAAGTGTTAAAAAGTAGAAAAATTATGTACTTAACATTTTGTATTAACTAGAGACAAAATATTTTCATTATTTCAATAAACTTGATAAAACTCGAGATAGACAATGGCTTTGAAGGTGCTATTTTGAAAATATCTTCTTCCTATTTCCTTTTAAGCAGGGTTTCCAAGAAGCGTGGATCACCTCTGGTTACCATGGCAGTCTAGCTAAGATTGTTACTGCATACTACTTACTTCCTAGAAAAAAATTTCCATTGTCATTCTGTGAAAAGCCAAAAATAAGACCTCAAAACTAGGTTTTCTGGGCTTTTTAACACCCAGTTATCTGAGTTCAATAGTAACTGGCCACCACTAAGGAAGGAGGGACAAGAGCCTGCTAAAATTCCTGTACATTTAATGGAAGCAAGCAATTCTTAAATCCCTTTCAGTGCCTTAAGCTAGACAGAGAAGACACAAGAACACCTAAAAACTCCACGGAGGAGAGAGAACACGAGCCCAGAGGCTAGGTCCTACAAGTGAAGAAAACCAGTTTTCAAAGTATCTCCTCTAGGGAAGACATGGTGCTAGGATGCTGTAAAGATACCGTGTCATCTTGGTCAAAAGGCACACACATAATCTATTAACAGACTCAAATACAAAACTTAAAAAAACCAGACTCAACAAGGACTAAACAGTCTGAGTAAGAGCTTCGACAAGAGAAAAGTAAAATTAGTCCATTTAAAATGCATTTGTTAGTGGAGATGCATGGAACAGGGGCCTGTAAAATACATGTCAAACTCTCAAGGAAACAGGAGGACAGGGTGGGGAGCAGAAGGTAGTGGTAGAAAAGGAGGGTGATTTAGAAAGTGTTCAAGTCAAAACATAACAGCTCATTCTTTAAAGGGAAATGGCTAGCCTAATAATAGTTTATTTGGGGCACAAACTTTTAAATTTGAAGTTTTATAAGGAAGGTTAAGCAAGGAAAATATTCTCAGAGTCTGGGATACCACAACACTGAGACGGGCAAATTAACATAACTTTAACAGAGAATACAACTCTCAAGTTATTTTAAGATGCTAGTTTATTTTTGGTTTCAGCAGCAGCAAGATGAGACAGGAAAAAATGTGACCTCTGCAGTCACTTCATCTCAGCCTACTTCTGCTAGTTTCCTCACTAAACATGAGCCCACCACTATCCCCTCAACCCAACTGTTTCTTAGTACCTCAGGAACATGCTGGTCATCCATCTCTATCATTCCCTCAAAATAAACGAAGTCTATGCTTTAGACACACCCAGGGGCTTGCACCCACGAGTTTCAGTTATATCCTCCTCCCCTTCCCACTCCGGGACCGCCAGCCTGTGCAGAGAGGAGACGGCCCAGGCAGCGCTTCGCAACCACTGAGCTCTGCCGGGGCGCACGTGCCCCAGGGACGGCCGCCGCCAGCCCGAGCGCTGTCCACGTGTGCGAGGGTGAGAGAAAGGTTGGGAACACATTTAAACCTCAGGAACTTCCTGTTCTTTTTTCACCCTAGTTGTAGAGAAAACTGACTACAAAATACTGAAGAAAATCTTTAACAAACCAAGGCAATCATTTGACAGAATCTCTTCAAATTCATATTCAAAATTTACAAACACAGAAGCCATACAAAACTTGCTTTTTAACTACCAACCACATTCAACAAAGGTATAAAACACAATTACTTTATTGATTTCTTACATCAAATACTGCCAACTAGCATTACTTCCACTCATGCATCATTAAAAACAAAAGGACATTTCCTTGGTATTTTCAAATGATGCATTATACAATAAACAAAAAAAGTTAGAACTTAAAATGCACCCTGATTAATTATGTAAACTGGTAATTTTTTTAAAAAGCATAACTAACAATTTGGTTCCTTTCTTCATAAAATGGAAATTTAAATATTTCTCCTGATAGTCTTGAGGTTATCATTATGTTATGAGTAGTGCAAAGTGTGGCACAGAGTTTCATCTAGACAGGGGTGTCTTACACACCTTATGAAACGAATGAAATGTGCATAACAAAATGCACACAGTCAACGCATGATAGAAGCATGTTTCAAATACAAGGCAGCGCCTCAGGCCACCTGTTATTTAGGTTTTGCATTATCATTTATGGCCTTATAAATTAATTACAAATAACATACTTTTATACATTTTAACCCTGAAGATAAGAAAAATAATTGTTGCTTGAAAAAAATTATTCCAGGTAGCCATTTGGTTTGTATCAGGAGAAAGTGAACCTCCAAGAATTTAGTGTCTGCCAAGTCTGGAATCATTAGCTCGAGTCAGTAAATCAGATATGCGACATATTTCACAGTGACTGTTTCCAAGTCCTGGCAACGCCTCTTCTCCACAGTAGCCGATGATGGGCGTCTCCGGAATTACCCTTGCGTGTGGTTTTCCCTTTTTTTTTTGCCGGATTAACTATTACAGCATTATTTCCTCTTCCCGCCTCTTCTGTGACCTTCCATTTTAATTATTCATAAGTCCTTTCAGAATATCCTCAGAGAGCTCCATGAGGGGAAGTTCTGGAGATGGAAAATCCAAGGGAGGAAGATTGGGTATCGGAATATCCTTGGCTTTCCCAGTATTTGCGGCAAACTTCTGCCAGGTTGGAGAGGCTGCAGCAGTTTCTGAATGTGGTGGCAAGCTCCATAACTCTGACTTTTCTACAAAATCAGCATCCACATCCAGCTCCTTGTCTATTGGGCCTTTTAGAAGTCTGGCCTTTTCAGCCTTTAGTTGTTTATTTTCTTTCCTTAATCTTTCATTCTCAGCCACCAGGAATTCCACAAGCCTCTTCAAATCTGCAATTTTGGTTGCCTGCTCCTCTATAATTGTTTTATCATCTTTTGGGGCTTTGCTTCCAATGCATGGCTCTGTTGGCTCACTCTTCTGCTGAAGTAAAAATAGGAGAGTGTCTGGATCCCTGTCAAAAACCCGCTGAATTTCAGACAGGTGCTTCTCCGTGGGAGGGCTGTGCTTCTGAGAGAGCAGGGGACTGTGTCCCTCTGTGTCCTCAGCAGAGGGTTTGTGAGATGCCTGCAGCTGGGCAGCTGCATCCTTGTCTATGCTTTGCTGGGCTTTCAATCTTTCCTCTCGCTTTGCCCGCTTCCATCTCTCCTGGATGAGGAGAAGCTGTTTCATGTGGCTGTCTCTCTGCAGTTCCAGTGATAAATGAGCCTATTACACGAAGGAAAGGAACAATTTCACATTTTAACACCTCTGTAGTAAAGTCCAGTAAATACCATTCCTAAGATCCTCCTTTAGGAATAACCCAGTAACCCTTAAAATTTATATACTATGTTTGCAATTCAACAGAACCTCAAGATTTTTCCAAAAAACTCAGTCTTTCTAGGTAAGCTAACATTTTTATTCATAAACAAAACACCATTTATTCAGGAAGTCAGTCCTATTCCAAATCAAGACACCGAAGCAGTGTGTTGAATGTGCCTTACTCCTTCTGCAAAGCCATTTGTACTCAGCTTAAACTTAGAAAACTTTCCTCTTTAGACATTAATTCCACAACTAGCTAGAAAGCCTTTCTATCAACAGGGTGCTCAGAGGCTCATGCACGTCCATCTTACGCAGCTGATACGAGCAGTTGGAGACAGTCAAAGGGAAGTGCAGAGGCGAGAACACAACTCTTCGGTTCTCTTGGTTCCGTCTGAGGAACTGGTGTTTGTCCTGGCTGCTGACATCCCCCAAGAGAAGAGATGGCCTTCCTTCAATCACACAAGTATTTAGCAAGTACCTCCTACATACCTGCCACTTTCAGCATCAGGAAATCATCTTTTGATAAAGATTTATCTTTGGATAAAGATACCTTTAAAACCCAGGCAGGCCCTCCCCAAACACATAAGACAAGTTGGAGCCATTGGTATCACAAATTTTTTAAAAGCACCAGAACTGCTTAGAAATTCAGGAAAAGACAAGTTCAGATTTAAATTATCTTTGACAAGCAAAGGGAAGGCCAACTGGTTTCCCCTTCGCCAGGCCTGCTTACTCACTGTGAGCTAAGGATCAGAAAAGGCCCTAAGATGGGTCTCTATGGGACACTGGGCCATCTAAGATCTATGAGGAACCACCAGGAAAAAGGACAGAAGTTTCTGCAAGCCACGTCTGCATATCAACAGCAGCTCATTTGGTTTTAACTTCCTTTCTGAAGTACTCTTCTCTTGCCTATTTTATATATTTTTGACTGTAGTGTTTTGAGAGGGACACAATGCTTTATTTTATACACAATTCAAGTCTCCACAAGAAAATCCTTCTAACCATTGTTGCAAACATTAATAAAGTGTCTCACCTGCTCAGACTGAGTCAGCTTCATGGCTTCAGAAAGATATGCTGGTAAAAAAAGAGAGGCACATTACCACATGAGCATCATCATTTTGTAACTAATGGGTCAAAGAAGAGTTTAATACTCCTCATATGACAGAGAGAACCCATCTTAGAAGCAATTCTGCTAGAGCTATCCTGTTCCTGAAAAGAAAGAAGGTGGGGATTTGAAAAAAGATAGGATTCTTAACTTCTTCAAAGACAGATGTCAGTGGTAATCAAATGTAGATTTTCTCTACCCCATCTTGAAGGGCTTTGTTCTTTAAAACACTTGTAGATTTCACAATTAAAGAAGTAAAGATGGCCTGATCAGAAAAAGAGGATTTGGGAGGATTAAAATTAAACAAGAACCTATCAACACCCTATTACACATTACGCTCACAAAAGTATCAAGAGATTGATTATCAATGACCTTTCACCCACATGAATACCTGGACTATCATTTTGGGTTCCTATAAAACTACTTTTATTGAATTCTTTCTGAGCTATGCCATCAGCCATCTATGAATTAGGTAGTTAAAAGCCCTAAGAACTTGCTGACATATTTATTGTAAGCAAGTTGTTGAGGACAGTGTAATGTCACTTATGAAGACCATAAATGGTCAATAACTCAATGGACTTCTCTCGGATCTCTGGATCAGTTCCTGGATGACTTAATTTGTTTGAATTTAAATAGTCACTGTAAAAATCCATGCTTTTCCTGCTAGAAAGCTTAAGGCCAAGTTCTCCTTCTATCAAATATGTCAGAACTCCTGGTGCACTTTGTGAACTCCAGGCCACGTCCTTCCTCATTTTATCTTTCTATGGATTCCTCATCTACTTACTTTTGACTATGTTTTATATTTTGCTATATTCCTCTTTGAGGCATTTCCTGTCTGGGACAAGATGGGGTATAAATAACTATTATTAATAATAACATCGTGCACAATTAATCTCCATTTTTTATGTCTTGCCTACTACAAATTTTTGGCATATGTCATCCCTGCATTAAGTTCCTTTTTGCCTTTCTGCATATACTATAAGGCACTGCTTTGTGTCTCGTCTGAACCTAAATATTGTAATCATTTTCTGAGTTCCTGACTTAGGACGGTCGTCCCCCGGTTCTCCCGTTGTCCTCAAGGTACAGATCACCTGGATGCCTCCGGCCCTAAGGGAAGATGCAGAATTGGTCATACAGCCTTTGCTCCAGCCATCCTTACATTTTTTGCCCTCAACTTTTTTTTTTGTCTTTTATTCTTTTATTCAGTCGGGATAGCTGCATAGAGACTAATTCTTTTCCTTTTGTTCATGTTTAAGTCCACGGAGACGTGGCATCTATTGCTACGATATAGGGTGGATGAGTTTCCCTAGACATCTCTCCCATTATGTCTGCATACATTTGTCTCCCTGTCTGAACTAGTGTTTGCTTTAAATCCACTTTCTTAACAAATGGAGCAGTTTCACAAAACCAAGCTTAAACCAGCTGGAATGCTTCCCTTTGTAGAACCCTGAAACTATAATATGACATAGGGCGGCCTCGAGGCATAGTGGTTAAGTTCACGCACTCTGCCTTCAGCGACCTAGGGTTTGGAGTTCGGATCCCGGGCACAGACCTATGCACCACTTACCTAGCCATGCTGTGGCAGGCATCCCGCATATAAAATAGAGGAAGATGGGCATGGATGTTAGCTCAGGACCAATCTGCCTCAGCAAAAAGAGGAGGCTTGGTGGTGCATGTTAGCTCAGAGTTAATCTTACTCAAAAAAAGAGAAACTATAACATGACAGAAGAGGATACCCAAGGACACCAAGTTCCCAAAGGGCAAAGAATTCAATAAGAGTCACACTGTCACTGAAAGTATTTCTCACATTTCAATTTAAAATCTGGGCCTTAAAAAAGTTATTTAAAAATTATTTATTTATTTATTTACTTTGTGAGGAAAATTGTTCCTGAGTTAACATCTGTGCCAACCTTCCTCCATTTTATATGCAGGATGCCATCATGGCATGGCTTCACGAGCGGTGCACAGGTCTGTGCCCAGGATCCGAACCTATGAAACCGAGGTCCCCGAAGCAGAGTGCACAAACTTAACCACTATGCCCCTGGGCCAGCCTCCTCCCCCAATTTTTGTTTACTATGACTGTATGGTCATGGATTTAGTCCAAAGTCACAACAGGAATGAATGCCCACCAAGACAGAAACTTAGGAAAGGAATACTTCTCTCAGAAAAATCTAGCAATTCTGGTTAAACTGCTTCCTTCAATTATGATACAAGGCTAATATTCAAAGTAGATATTAGATACATGATGGGGAAAAGGAACTAAGAAAATCTGAAGAATCTATTACTTCTTAAAATAACATCTAATACTATTCTATCATAAATCTGTTAAACTGGTACCAAAGTATAAATTCTATAGCCTATGTGCACACACACAGCAAAATATTGCCTCTGAATGACAAAGACTGATCTGCCCTGAATCATTTTCATGTCACCACAGCCTCATGGGAAGGTCAAGATGTGTTTTCAACCAAATACATATGAACACCGTACTCTGTGGTCTGCTCGTCTTCTGAAATGTTCATTTTGACTTCTAAGCATTGTTTATGGCTGCTATCAACTTCCCATTTAAGCTTTTGCTCTTTTTGCTGTCTGTGAACAAAAAAAAAGGAAGTGGACTGCATAAGACTGATACAGGAGAATTACACCAATCCAGTTACAGGTGTCAATCAAGGGTTTAAAGCAACAGATTCTGCTAACAATGCTGAATCCTTGGGAGTTTGTGACTTCTTAAACTTTCCTTTTTTTCAATATAGGGTGGTAAAATGTGGACACCTCCTCCTCCCCATCTCCTGCCAGATTTAGATAGTTTTTTCCTTCTGAATTTAGTATCTCAGCTTATCTGGCAAATGAATGCTCACATGCTCAGTTTCACCTAATTCAGCCACTGTCCACTTCAAGAGTGAATTAAATTCTACCCTTTCCCCAAAAGGAAAGAAAAACCAAGGAATCTCTTTATTTCAATACATTTACAAAACAAACACTATGAGAACACTACAAAGTACAGAGGCTGTGTCCTTAGCTACATAGTCTCAGGTAAATTTTTAGCCTCAGAATCTCCCCTGAACTCTGACAGACACAGAGGCCTCTTCTTGTGCCCTTAAGTTCTCTCATGTCAGGCTTTCCTTCCTATCGGTCTCTTTCAGAGGTCAATCTTTCCCTGTCACATCTCTAAAATGATTTCCAGATACCAGGCTCCTTCCTCTCAGAATACACCTACATCTACGCCTCCCCAAACACCTCTGTAAGCCAACTCAGAAGAACAGAGATCATTCTAACCACATCCATTTTCAAACTAGCATCACACGCACAACTCTACTCTAAAACACAACACAAGGCTATTTTTAACGAAGTCTAAACACCAAATCAAATCGGCTCAGTGGGATTAACTCATCACACTTAAGCTCTATCTCCATAATTAAAGCTAATGGGATCCAACAGGCTGCCTTTATCTTTTCTACTCCTGAGACTGTCACAGAATTTAGATACTTAGATATTTAGACACGGAGAAAAGAGGGAGAGATGTTTAAAGCCCAACATTAGTTTTAAACCTTCAAATAAAGACAGAGACGTAGGTAAGGATTGAAGGAACTGTTTCTCCCTTTTATATATTCAGAATATCCTACTGCTCATCGCCCAACATATGCTGATCACCCCATTTGAACACGTTACATATGTGTAACCATGATCACTCTGCGTCACTTAACTAAAGGTATCAGTGCACTGTGGCATTCGTACACAACATGGTTTTCTTAAATAGTGTAGTACATTGTCTTGTTTTTATAGTGACTACAGATTTAACAATTTGATTCATAACAAAATACGGTTTATGAAAGTTTAAAGAGCAACAGCTGCCAAGTTTGTTTTATAAAGCCCCCATAAAACTCACCATAAAATCCACAAAGATTTATGTGCTCAGCCCTACAGCTGAAGGGGTACACTTCAGCGGCAAAACTAATTCTTTAAAAATAAGACCAAGTTTTCTCTGAAAATTACTAACTTTTAAGCAAAGATCACTGACATGAGGACTTACACAAACCAGTGTCCACGGTGTGGTCTATACTTCAGCAATAAGGCAACAAAGGGGCAAAACAGGAAAGAACATAGCTTGGATCATCACACTGGCCTAGAGGGAAAGGAAAGGGCCTCCTCCAGCAAAAAGACCAGAGGCTTGCTCTAAGAAAGGTGGCGACACCCATTTTGGATGCAACATGAGTTAAACATCCTCTCCTCAAAGGTTTTAGGTTTGATACTCAGCCAACAGTCTGTACAAAACAGACCCCAAAGATCTATTTCTGAGTTCAACATGTGCTAGGTTATGTGACTGACTGGGATAAAATAAGCTGTCTGATAAGAAGCTAATAATTCTAAATTTCATACCTAAAACAAAGCTATCAGCAGCATGATATCATAGTCATGAATGTATAGATGAAATATTGAGAAGGGAAACTCAAGAAAGACCACAGGAAAGAATTTTGATGGGTTTTGTATTATCAGCATCTTAGAAAACAAAACTCAGTGAAAATCAATTGGCTGGAATTAAATCAGTTATTACTTTCAGAACCCAAAATGGCTATTTGAAATCCAGACTCCTTTTCTAGAATAACTAAGATGAACTCGCAGGCTTCTTGCAATCCCTTCTGTCTTTAGGGATCTTCGGGCTCAGAAAGCTGTGTCCAAGAATCCTTTCCCAATATGGCATATGCAATCTTTATGGTTTAGAAAGAAGACTGGGTTAGGAGGAGCTGGGAAATCCAACACAGTCACTTGAAAAATAATCCAAGCCGATGTTCCAGTGGGTCAGTGTCAACCTTGTGTGTGCAGGGCAAGAACCCACCATTACTATTGTGACTTTCATTCTAAATGAAGTGTTGGGAGATACTGGAGAAAAGAAACTGCCCTCTAGTTTTAGACTCAGTACTTCTTAAAAAGAATACTCACCTGCAGCCTTTTTGTGACAAGAAATAGCCTCTTCGTATTTCCCTGCAGCTAATAAACGATCTGCTCGTCTGCTCTGTTGATGAGCCTAGAAAACAAACATTCTTAAGTTCCTGTGAGTCACAGAAAAGACATGACTTTAAAAAAAACTTATAAGAATTTAAATAATGCTGTTTGTTGCCACACATCAAACCATTACACCTCTATCTATAACTGGGGAAATCTAACGGGCAGCTCCTTGAACTACAGCCTCTGTAAGTTTTGGCAGCTTCTCTCAGTTCTACTAATAAACCATCAAGGTTAACACTAAGCACTTAACTCCTTCATGACCCACAATCTTTCAGTCTTCAAAGATTAACCAAGAATTACAATCATACATTGTTACTCAAAATGTGTATTTTCTTGATTTTTAACAAGCTCCTTTCAAAACGAGTTATTTTGTAGACGGTTTCACTAGTCTGTATAGTTTAAAAACTACAATCAGGAAATTACTTATCACACAGAAAATTCAAGCTTCTCTTATCAACTCATTATTCTCTTCCAACATTAAAGTTACTATTTATGATTTTAAGATAAAAAATATGTACATTGTACAGTTGAGGAATTAATGATACCAATATTTAATATTACAGGGAAGATTTTTTCACGTACAATTCACCAAAACAACAAAGACAAACTCAGAAGTTCTGAAAGCAAACGACTAAACTGCCCCCAAAGGTAAAAGTAAACAGATTAACTAAGTAGTCGCTGGCTTCCTTTCATTTGTGTTACACTTCAAGAAGGACTATAACTTTGTGAATGCATTTCCCTCTCCTACGTAAGGAGAGCCAACAGACTTAAAGGCGTCATGCATGTCACAGAGGTGGTACAGTTAGCAGGCAAGGAGAAAGACAGAAAGACCAAGTCTTATAACTAGTGTAATGTTTTCCTTACTAACAAACTCATAAATGATTTAGCAAAGCTGCTTTAAAAACGTGAAAAGCATTGTACACCCATGTTCATAACAGCGTTATTCACAACAGTCAAAAGGTGAAAGCAACCCAATGTCCATCAATAGATGGATGAGCCAAATGTGGTATATACAGATAATGGAATATCATTCAGCCTTAAAAAGGAAGGAAATTCTGACACAAGCTACGACACAGATGAACTCTGAGGACATTAAGCTAATAACAAAATATAAAATAAGCCAGTTTTGTCACAAAAAGACAATGTATGATCCCACTTCTACGAGGTACCCAAAGTAGTCAAACTCATAGAAATGGAAAGTACAACGGTGGTTGCGAGGGACTGGGGGGGAGAGAAAAGTGGGGAGTTGTTGTTTAAACGGTGTAGAGTTTCACTTTTGCAAGATGAAAAAGTTCTGGGGATTTGTTGCACAACAATGTGAATATACTTGAGACTACTGAACTGTACACTTAAAACGATAAAGAGGGTAAATTTTATGTTATGTACTTTACCTTAATTTTTAAAAAAACCAAAAAGCAAATCTGTTCTGTCAGGTGTAAACTATCTCGGATGCTTTTCAAAAAACGTGTCACTGACGCCTCATAAAAATACTTCAGAGAATCACTTTTGCAACTGAGATTAGAAATATTCTGGGCATGTTTACAAATCACACTCTGAAAAAGAGAGGTGAAGACAAACGTAGAAAACAGCCCTTCCAGCAATGCATGCTCTTTACATTTTCCCCACTTCTATTTTTGTAAGGAAGAAACAAGCGACACTCTTAAAAGCAAGATCATCTCTTTCAATTGTTTCAGAGGCTTTTTATTCTTCAAATAGTAATTAAACAAACTTTTTCCGTAAGTCTCAATTTATTCCTGAAAATAACCATGGGTAACAAGAAATGACTGGGGGCTCTAAAATAATTTTAACCATGGAGTCTTGGACTGAGCAAAAAATATATTCTGAACACAGGAGTATTTTACAGTACCAGAAATGATACAGATCTTTTGGGAAGAGAATGTATATGATGAAGAAAGCTAAATTATGATCAACAAGATTTCTCTAAGGAATGTGTTCTGATAGTATAGTTAAAGCAAGTGGCACTCAATCAACAAGGTTCTAGGTAGGAAAAGAAATGGGAACAGAAGGGGGGAATCTTCATGTGCCTTTACCTTTCTGAGCTCTGGAAGAAGCCCTACATAAGAGACAAACTTTCTCTGAAATTCCAGAGCATCTCCTAAGGAGACGGGGCACAGCACCGATGCAGCCCTACCAAGAACTCAGGGCCCTGGGCTCCAGTCCTGACTCTCCCACCAAACCAGCCAATTTATTTCATCCTTCAGGGCCTGTTTCCTCACCTGTAAAATGAGGGAGCTGGACCAGATCTGTGATTCTCCAGTTTTAATGGAACACGAATCGCCTGGGGACTTGGATAAATGCGGACTCTGACTCGGTAGGTCCAGAATAGAGTGTGAGATTCTACTCAGGTGAAGCTGAAGCTGGTTCCTGGACACACTTTGAGAAGCAGAGATGAGATGCTCTCTGAGGTCACCTCACTCTAACACTGTGTCTCCATCATCTCCGTCTCTGATGGCATTAAACATTTTCTACTTTGTCATATATTTATGAAGCTCCCTAATTAAATTTCAAGCTCCATGATAACAGGATTGTTTCTTGAACACCAAAAAAACAGAAAGTTCTCAAGTGTGTCTGTGAACAAGACTTCAAGGCTTTTCCGACTCCTCTAAAACCTCCCCCATGTAAAGTCCAAGCTCTGATCACTCTACCAATTCAGGAGTTACATCTCATTTAAAAAGACACACCTACTCTAGGTCATCTGGCACCTCAGCAATCAAATTTCCTATTAAAAAATACAGTTCCTACTAAGTTTTTGTTAGACATCCAGCAAACACAGACTCTGCTTAGAGCTTGACTGCCTAGGTTCAAATCTCAGCTTGCACACTTATTAGACATTTGGCTTTCTTAACTTTCTAAGTTTCCTCATGTTTAAAATGAGGGTGCTGTGAAAATTAAACTAGTTAAAAGACAGTAACAGGACTGAAGGCACTTGCCATCAAAAGTTTACAATGTAGTTCGGCAGACTAGACTAAACTGCATTTTTTTTAAACTGAAGATATTGTAGCACTTATTTTGACAGTAATTCTTATTTTTAAAACAATTTTTAAAGATCTTTCTTTAATATTAAAATTGAAAACTCTTTAAATACTGTTCTTGATAGAATCACCAGTAAAAATCAGTCATTAAATGGGCCAGCCTGGTGGCCTAACAGTTAAATTCACACCCTCCACTTCAGGGGCCTGGGGTTTGCCGATTCGGATCTGGGGCACGGACATAAACATCACTTATCAAGCCATGCTGTGGCAGGCGTCCCACATACAAAGTAGAGGAAGATGGGCATGGATGTTAGCTCAGGGCCAGTCTTCCTCAGCAAAAAGAGGAGGATTGGCAGCAGATGTTAGCTCAGGGTTAATCTTCCTCAAAAGAAAAAAAAAACAGTCATTAAAAGTATTACATCCATAAATACATTTCTTTGGTAATTCAAAATAAAACAGGAACAAGAGGCAATGGAAATGAGAATGTTGGCTGGGGATTCTAAAAGTAGTTTGTGCACTGATATTTTGTAATTCTGATAACATGTTTCTCTTCTGACAAGTATTTCAAGACGCAGTAAAGGGTGCCAGCCTGGTGGCATAGTGGTTAAGTTCGCATGCTCCACTTCAGCAGCCTGGGGTTTGCAGGTTTGGAGTGACCTAGCATGGCTCGTCAAGCCACGCTGTGGCAGCATGCCACAAAAAATTGAGGAAGATTGGCACAGATGTTAGCTCAGCAACAATCTTCCTCAGGCAGAAAGAGGAAGAATGGCAACAGATGTTAGTTCAGGGCCAATCTTCCTCAAGAAAGAAAGATGCAGTAAGATTTTACGGAAAAGACTATCTCAATATTTCATACTCGTTCAGAAAGGATAAAAGACACTCCAGGTATTTAGCAGTGATTTCACTAAAATTCAAATAATTTTTAAGCCAAAAATGCAATTATTTGGAGTACTAACCTAAACAAATTGAGCTTGAATTTATTTTCTTCTTCAATAAAATATCAACATTATCAGCAAACCATTAGGACAGAAAAAGTAACTTAACATGCTTGAAGAACTTCAATTCCAGGAGCACCTAAACATATAAAGTAAATATTAACACACAGAGAAATAGACAGCAACATAATAATAGTATGGGACCCTAATACACCATTTACATCAATGAATAGATCATCCAGACAGAAAACCAATAAGGAAACATAGGCCTTATACGGCCTATTAGACCAGATGGATTTAACAGATATATATGGAGTATTCCATCCAAAAGCAACAGAAGACATATTCTTCTCAAGTACACATGGAACATTCTCCAGCAAAGATCGTATGTTAGGCCACAAAAATGTCTTAACAAATTAAAGAAAATTAAAATCATACCAAGCACCTTTCCTGACCACAATGGTATAAAACTAGAAATCAACTATGAGAAGAAAACTGGAAAATTCACAAATATGTGGAGATTAAAAAACACGCTATTGAACAAGATCAATGGGACAATGGAGAAATCAAAAAATACCTTAAGACAAATGAAAATGAAAATACGACATACCAAGACTTATGTGATGCAGCAAAAGGCATTTGAAGAGGGAAGTTTGGTGATAACCGTCTACCTCAAGAAACAAGAAAAATCTCAAATAACCTAATTTTTACACCTCAAGGAACTAGAAAAAGAAGAAAGTCCAAAGTTAATAGAAGGAAGGAAATAACAAAGACCAGAGTACAAATAAACAAAATAGAGACTAAAAAGACAACATAAAGATCAATGAAACTACGAGCTGGTTCTCTGAAAAGATTAACAAACTTTTAGCTAGACTCACCAAGAAAAAAGAAAGAGGACTCAAACAAATAAAATCAGAAATGAAAAGAGTGGACGTTACAACTGCTACCACAGAAATACAAAGCATGGTGAGACAACTAGGAACAATTATACTCCAACAAATTGGAAAGCCTAGGAGAAAGAGCCAAATTCCTAGACACATATAACCTTCCAAGACTGAATCATAAACAGAGAAAATCCGAACAGACTGATT